AAATTGCCTGTACTTATGTATGTAACCTTTTGACTTGTTCTGTATCCAAAGGTACTAACCTACTTAGGATTTATAGAATGTAAATAAATTCAATTCAGTTCAATTCAGGGAAATTCATTTCCCATTCACCCCAGATAATCAGGAACCTACTGCATCTGGAGGGGGCATGCGGTAGCATAGTTGGTTGAGGCACTATGCTACAAGCTGGAAGGTTGCGGGTTCAAGGCCCGATGAGGTCATTGGATTTTTTCCAGTTGACCTAATCCTTCCAGCTGCACTATGGCCCTTGGGTCGACTCAGCCTCCAACAGAAATGAATACCAGGAATTAATTAAATAATTTTCCTGGGGAGTAAAGTGCCACCGGTGCGTAAAGCTGACAACCTTACCACCATCTTTGAGCCAATTGTCTAGATAATGTGGGATCCTCAACATCTCACAACCCTATGGGCCTTCATGACCTGTTACAGGGATAGCTTTACCTTACTGACTGCATCTTGATTGACAGTTCTGTGAGTATTTAGAGAAAGATGATTACATTCGGCTAAAAAGAACTATTTAAGCTAAGTTTGGCATTAAAAATTTCTCTTTTCTTGTGGCCTCATGCCCCTGGAACCCTCTAAAGCCCCTAGGTTAGGAAAAACTGGCCTACATACTAATAATATCATAATCCCCCTCCCCCCAATTCTTGAAATCCATTGTTTTTCTGTGGCTTGGTGGTTCTGATGTTTTGTATTTTCAGGTTTCGGAGCATGATTCTCTTCCAAAAGTCATTTGTCATCATTGTTTACATAAACTGGAAGTATTTCGTGAGTTTCAAGAAAGCTGTTTGAAATCTGAAGAAACATTAAGGAATAGTGTAACAAGTTTAGTGACAGTTCCTGTGTTTATGAATGCTTCTCAAGAGTATGTACAGGAAGAAGAAGAGAAAGTGTCACAGTTTTCAGCAGAATTGCTGCCAATACAAGATCCACTGTTACATCAGCAGTCTGCAGCATCAGTTGCAACACCAGCAGAAGAGGTAACTACATAACATTTCTTATTCCTCCTTCAGGTATATTATACTGAACTGTTGTATGAAGCAGTACAGGCCCAAAACATAAGGTATACGAAAGAAACAGAAACAGTGATAATGTTATATTTTAGCATCCTGTTGCACTGATTTAACAGTGATATTGACTGAATCAGAATTAGATGGCATTGGAGCTCAGAAGACCCCCCTCCTTCTTTGTGTTGTTTGACTTTTCATTGTATGAGGCATATTGGAAAGCTTTCCTCATTCCAGAACAAAACTGTTAATGCTCTAACCTTACAAAAGTGCAGTTGATGTTAATCCTTCTCATAGGTTTTTGCATTGCCTGGAAGTGGGCTGGGCACTGTTACTGATGTTTTAAAATCAGGTATGTCTGCACTAATTGGCCAATTTTACTAGTCCCAGATGAGATGAACATGGAGCATTTAGTGGAATGAGAATTGGCAGAGGAAACTGAAGTACTCAGTGACAATTTGTCTATCACAAATCCCACATGAAGTGACCCAGGATTGAACCAGGATTACTGTGGTGGGAAGCTGGCAACTAATTGCCTGAGCTGTGGGCATGGCCTTAACATCAACACTGAACCACTACAGAAGCCTAAATAAGTAAAACTAAAGTTGGGCAGTTGCTGTGCCACTGGTTCACAAAGCACCATCCCAGTATTTCAAATGATTGTGTCTTTTCTGATGATGCACTGTGTACTCTTAATATTTAATGATAATATAGTGCCTGCCTCCAGGAAATTTATTCAATTTCGTGATCAGATTGTTCTCATGTGATATCATAATTAAGCTACTCTACAGGTAAGGGATATAGTGTGAAATAAGTATGGATAAACGCTGTATTTCTTCAGTTGTAAAGGGTTTTGATTAATGGTGGATAACGCTTGGGATTACTGAATTTCTGAACCTTATCTATTGTCTGGAATTCAAAGGAACACAGTGTTTAGGAAACATGACCTGTTTGTGTCCCAGTCACTGGTCAGTGATTGATGGTAGCTCTGTGTAATGGGCCCAACAGAGTAGGTGACTTCCACCTTTTCATCTGAGGGTGGAAGTAGATCCTGTTTCCAAAACGTTCTTTAGAATACTGGATGATATGCAGTGTCCAAAAACTCAGTAATCCTGAGTGTTATACACCATCATCACAATCCTGTATTTCTTGTATTTGTCTTGGCCTATTACAACAGAATCCATGTTGATGATTATCATTTGTTTGATTCATAGATGATGTTAATGTTGCCAGAAGAATGTTAAATATATTCCATGGGAGTTTGCTGTCTCTCTCTGCTTTTGTAAATAGGAACAGGATTGTTTCTTCCCTGCTGTTGTGATAATTTATTCACTGAGTGGAAATTGTGTCTTTTTTTTTTTTATATAGTACTACAAAGATTTGAAACTCAGAGAAATAGAACAGCTGTTAAGATACAAATGGAAGCAAGTAATGTGACAGTCATATTTATCTGAACCCAGATGATGTTTTCATCTTTTATTCATATACCATGTTTGAAGAAATCAGTACATATGTTTTATTAAATGTGATGTGTAATATATGAAAAATCCTGTTGTTCACTTATGAAAGATCTACTGTAAAACATTTTAATTGAATATAGAGGTCATATGGACAAATGTTTTATTATACAAGGTGGTTCAAATGACCGGGACTGATTTGTGTGTAAACAAGCCGCACTGTGCAGCAGCTGTGCGACCTTGAGAGAGTGAAGCCACAACCTCCACCCTCCCTCCTGTTATGGTTAGAACCTGTTCAGTCCTGTCTGGGAGTTGCTAGAGTGATGAGCAAACAGAAGGTACCGCGGAGCGTGGAACAACGCATTGTGATCAAATTCCTCATTGGAGAAAACGTCCAGTCCGCTGAAATTCACCACAGACTCCAACAACAGTATGGGGAAGAGTGTTTCTCATGGACCTGTGTGTTTGAGTGGTGTAAGTGCTTCAGAAAGGGCAGAGAGCGCGTGGAGAATGAACCGCATGATTGTCGGCCACGAACATCTGTCACCGAGCCAGACATTGATCGTGCAGACGCGCTTATTCATGAGAATAGGCGCATCACTATCAAGGAACTTGGAGCAATGCTGTCCAACAGTGTTGGTAGTGTAGAAGACATCGTGAAATACCACCTGCACTATCACAAGGTGAATGCACGGTGGGTACCACGCACTTTGACGGACGTGAACAAAATGGAGCGCATGCAAGCTGCCAGTCATCTCCTACAGCAGTTGGAAGACAAAGGTGATGCATTTTTGAAGTCTGTAGTAACCACTGATGAAACGTCGGTGCACTACTTCATTCCTGAGTCCCGGCAGCATACCAGTTCTCCCAAACCCAAGTAAGCGTGTAGGAGCCATTTGGCAGGAAAAGTGATGGCAACGTTCTTCTGGGACTGGCAGGTGGTTATCCATGTAGACTTTCTGACAGATGCCAGAACAGTTGATACAGCTTATTACTCATACCTCCTGGCAACAGACCTGAAGGAAAAGATCCGATCCAAGTCGAAGACACGTGGAAAGCGGGTAGCCTCCCTTCAAGACAATGCATGCCCCCATATGACCAAAACAACAATGGAAACCCTCCAGAAACTGAAATGGAACCTTTTGACACATCCGGCGTACAGTCCTGATTTGGCACCAAGTGATTTCTACCTGTTCGGAAGGCTCGAATCAGACTTGCAAGGCATGCGGTTTGTGGACAGCAACACCGTCATCCAGACTGTTCAGGAGTGGATACGCCTCCAACCAGAAGCTTTTTTTTGAAAAGGGCATCAGGATGCTTCCAGAACGTTGAAGAAAATGTGTTGACTCCGGAGGGGAGTATGTCGAAGACCGACATGTGCAAGTAAGTGTTTGGCAATTATGTTTTTTTTTTAATCTGTCCTGGTCATATTTGAACCACCTTTACATTTTAATTCACAGATGGTTAAGACAAGGTTATGCTTTATCCTGTATATGTGCAATCCAGAAGTTCCCGAAATTTTAATTTTGCACCCGAATGGTTATGAGTACATTGAAATATCGCTAGGTGTCTCCCCACACACCCTTCTTGAATCAGTGTGGCAAGTGGCGTCGAGTTGAGTGGTTGGGTTTATTGTTTGTGAACGTATTTCCATTGTTGTGTTTTCATTAGTTTGCGGTTTTGCGATGACTGACCTGAGAGAGCAGCGTGTCTGTATAAAGTTTTGTTGTAAACTTGGGAAAACCGCTGCAGAAACGCTCTAAATGTTGAAGCAAGCTTTTGGTGACAACAGTTTAGGCCACACACACTCTTTCGACTGGTACAAGCATTTCAAAAATGGCCGAACATTGACTGATGATGACGATCGTTTGGCACGGCCGTCAGCTGGCACCACACCAGAAAATGTCGCGAAAATTAGGGATCTGATTCTGCAAGATCGTAGACTGGCCATCCAAGACCATCCCAAGGTGTTACACCTTGGGACTAAGTTATAGTACATGTCAACGAATTTTGTCAGAGGAACTGAACATGAGGAGGATTGCGGCGAAGTTTGTGCCATGACTGCTGCAAAATGAACAGAAGCAATATCACTTGGAAGTCTGCAGGGAACTTCAACAACAGCTTCAAGAGGATCCAAACTTTCTTTTGAAGGTTGTCACTGGTGACAAAAGTGGGTTTATGGCTATGACCCTGAAAGTAAGCGGCAATCGTCACAGTGGAAAAGCCCTTCTTCAGCTCGGCCGAAAAAAGCTCGACAAGTCAAGAGCAACATTAAGTCCTCTTTTTTTTATATATATATATTGACAGGATTGTTCATAAGGAGTTCGTCCCTCCTGGTCAGACAGTCAATAAAGAGTTCTATCGCGATGTTCTAAGGCGTTTGAGGGAGGACTTGAGGAGAAAACGTCCAGAGAAGTGGCACACAAATGACTGGGTACTCCACCATGACAGTGCACAACCACATACGGCTTACATTGTGCAGGAACTTTTGGCTAAAAACAAGATGGCAGTTGCTCCCCACCCACCGTACTCACCAGACTTAGCTCCACGTGATTTCCTTCTCCTCCCCAAGATGAAAATCAAGTTGAAGGGGCGAAGATTTGATACAGTTGAAATTCAAGCGGAAACGCAGACAGTACTAAACACCCTAACAAAGAAAGACTTCCAGGATGAATTTCAAAAGTGGCAGAAACGCTGGGATTGGTGTATGCGCTCCCAAGGGGGCTACTTTGAAGGTGATGGTGCAGAATAAGATCCAGATAAGACATAATAGTTTTTATTAATATATTTCCGGAACTTTTGGATTGCACAACATACTTATTAATAATTGTCTAAAATATTTTATCACAAGAAGCCCAAGGGAGTAAAGAAAGGTTGGAATTGAATGACCTAAATTGGGTAGCTGTGTGCCAGTGACATTAATTTTTTGGTTGACAGTATAGATGCTATAAGGGAAAGGTAGAACTTCATTTAGCTAGAAAATTGTTCTGCAAGAAAATATACTAATAAATTGTTCATAGATGTCAGACAGTCATAAATTCAGGAAATGCCATGTTAATCGGTTCAAAAACGATTACCATACTATCTGTTTTTTGAGTTGTGGGATGCACCATAGCTCAAGCAGTTAGTCGCTGGCTCCCCACCGCGGCGGCCCGGGGTCTGGTCAAATGGGATTTGTGGTGGACAAAGTGGCGCTGGGGCGGGTTTTCTCCAAGTACTTCAGTTTCCCCTGCCAATCTTCATTCCACCAAATTCTCCATCATCATAATCACCTGGGGCAGGTACAATAGGCCAATTAGTGGCCACCATGCTGAGTGGACCCAGGTGGATTCCACCCACCCCCCCACTAAGTGAATTTAATTTAATTTGTTTTCTGAAATATCAGACATCAAGGTACATAATATTTGGCAGTAATTTTTCCACTTGACTAATAATATTAATTTTACAGACAGCTGTTAACACAACAGTGTTTATTAATTTAAACCACACTACATGCTTTGACCCCTAAAAGGGTCATATTCAGGTGTTCTTAGTTACACGATTATTTATTAAATTGTAAGGCATGGTCTTGTCTGAATATTTCCTATATGTGTACTAGTTTTAATCACTGTATTTCTAGTTTACATACATAAGCTGTAAAATGGCTATATTATATGTGTAAAGTAAAAAGTAAAACTATCCCTGTAACAGGCCGTGAAGGCCCGTAGGGTTGTGAGACGTTGAGGGTCCCACATTATCTAGACCAGTGTTCCGCAACCTTTTTCTACTCACGGCACACCAAAATGTTATTCCCCTGAAAAACGCATGATATCAGACAGTTTATACAAATACGTAACGTGATCAACTTATTACTATAATATTATTATATTGTTATTTTATTATCATTAAACAGAAATCGACTCGTGCATTTATTAACAATTAATGAACTTTAACTCACTGTAGAGTGTAGAAAATACACTTCTATTACTATTAAAGTAAATACAGTAATTCAGCTCATACCCTCAATGTGATACTTGCACCTGCGTAGCTGCACACAGGCAACTGATCCGTGGTGGAATTTTTGACAACGCAAGTCTCGTTTCTTCATCGATGGATTTGAGCCGCTCCCTCTTTGATGTCTTAATTTCAGTTAACGTCGAGAAGCCCAGAGCACACAAAGATGTAGTTGAAAATGGCAGTAACACATTAACTGCCATCTCTGAGATAGCCGGGTATTCACGCCTTACTGCCAACCAAAATGCATCCAAAGGCACTTCAAGAAGTTTTAGTTTCAATGTTCTGTCTGCTTTTAAATCTGCGAGTTCCTCTGGTATATTAATCGGAAGATGTTCTGAATTCACAACAAATGGATCACGAACCCAGTCGAAATCTTGTACACTCTCTCCAAAATACTTATTNTTACAGGAAGAAAGTCATAAAGCTGAAAAAGCTCTAACTTCTAACAGACATGGGCAAATACCAAAACAGCGTTATAAAAGACGGGAAAACCCATGCTAATCCCTGCAGTTTTAAGGAAAAGCACATATACATGCGGCAAGCATATCAAAGAAGCTGCGTAGATGCGAGAAAAATAAAAATAAATCAATAATGAAAATTATGATATAACAACAACTGTGAGTAAATAATTTACATTTAATTTCTTAGGATTCAGCATTACTGTACATAAAAAATCACAGCATGCAATAAAGAATAAACAAGCATCATCTTATTTAATCAGTGCAGTGGCTGAGAATAAAATGCAAGCATATGAAACACGGTAACTGGAATAAAATAAAACGAATAAAATTTGACAATTAATTTCTTACAATAGATAAAAGTTTGTGTCACACCTTTCACCTTGTGACGGCACACCGGTTGCGGAACACTGATCTAGACAGTCGGCTGAAAGATGGTGGTAAGGTTGTCAGCCTTACGCGCTGGCTGCGCTTTACTGCCCAGGAAAATTATTTAATTAATTCCTGGTACTCACTTCTGTTAGAGGCTGAGTCGACCCCAGGACCATAGTGCGGCTGGAAGGATTAGGTCAATTGAAAAAATCCAATGACCTCATTGGGACTTGAACCCGCAACCTTCCGGCTTGTAGCATAGTGTGTACTTATTGTTTACTGATATACTACTTATTGGATATTGAATTAAGTTGAGATCATGTATGAGTTTCTATGTAAAATGAACATTTTTTTTTATTTGAGTTAAGATTGATTTAAAAATGTCATGAGCTATAATTGGTGTCATATCATTGTGATGTATTAGACTACGCTTATCTTTGTGTTAGCTTTTCCAATTTTTCTGTTATTTGTTGCATTAATTCATTATGTTGATGTTATTATGTTCTGCTTTCTTAAGAGTCAAATGACCTTATTTCTTCTTTGGTGATGGCTGCATGCGATTCTTTAATGATTTAAGTACTGTAGTAATATGTTATAAACTTTGAAAATGGTTTATGAAACACTAATTTTATTATTACAGTGTTTCTTAAATTACTTACAGTTAATGTTATGTTCCTGTATTCAGTCTACTTTACATGGTATATGTTTTGCTGTGTACTGTGTACTACTGGGACTGTGAAAGATAGTTTCTTACTTCAAAGGAATGTTTGAAAGACATAGAGCTTTGTAAATGTCTGGACCCAAGACGGATAAACTAGACATAGGACTTAAAGATTTGTAAGCGTAATCAAAGTTATTGTACTGGAAGCAGGGATTACAATAGGGATGGGTGTAGACCTCAGATTGGGAAATCAGAACACCATTCAGAATTGTGTGGCAGAATGACTTGGAAAGTGGCCAAGAAGGATAACATTAAGATGACTCATACAAGAAAATGATTGTTAGGATGGGAGATGTGAGGAACTGGGCCAAGATCATGAACATAGTCAGGTTTTAGTAATAACAGTGTTGAATTTGAAGGTTTACTATCAGAGATTAGTTCATGTTCTTACTCCTGGAAACCATCTTGCTTCTCAAAATGTTTTAGAGTCTGTTTAGCCATTGTCACTATTTCAATCAAGAAACAGTTAAAGAAACAACCTAAATGTGTTCAGTGGATGTGATTGAAGGTAATAGACATGAAATCTAACTTTGAGGGTGTTTAATTTGTTTCTGAAGAATTTTGACTGCTAAAATGTTGTTATGTGTCTTATTTGTTTCAGTTTTAAAGCTATGGTACTGTGGGATGTCAAATCCAGTGGCGTGGAGAGATAACCACATAAAACTGTAACAAATGTTTATTGCTGTTAGAATGAACATTAGAAACGATCAGGGAAGCAGAGCATGCCTGATGAATGCTGGTGAAAACTCCCTTCATAGCGGGCTAGCCTGAACTGGTGACAGCATTCTTCCTTGCAGCAGCCCGGTGATTGTGAGCTGTTGGGATGCCAGGCAAAGCTCTTGCAGTAGCAGGCTAGCCTGAGCTAGTGGGATGCCAGGTGAAGCTCTTGCAGTAGCGGGCTAACTGGCGCTAGTGGCAGCATGGTCAGCTGGCCAGCAAAGCTCCTGCCACAGTTGCCTGACCTGATGAGCACTGGTGATCAGTGGCTGAGTCGCCTGTCTGTGCTTGCTACTAGTAGACTCGCAGTTGCGGTGTTCTCTCAATGTAAGCATAGCTGTAACTGATGCTAGCGTATCGGAGGCCTACATCTTTATACTTTTTGACACTGGCCGGCACACTAACCAATGGGCGTTGGATCTGCCATGGTGGAAACTGATTGGGTAGTGCTTGCTTCACTGTGGGAGGCTCCCACAGTACCTGTTCCTTTTAATTGACTTTTCAGATGTTGACTCATTCCTGAAAAAAGGTGAAGGATATTAACTCTGTGACTTATTTAATGTTGTTGCTACAAAAATAACAATAATAACAATATTTGTGGTTTATTTAACAATGTTAGTATCTCAGGATATGTAATGTCAAATGATGGGATATTTATAAGATTGAAAAGTTTGTGACGATGGTACGTTAGTACAAATGTTATGTTTCTGGACATTATCCTGGTTTTATCTGAAACACTGTCCTGTTTATGTTTCAAAACGCAACCTTATGTTTTGAAATATTTGTAATATTTGTATTGATAAAATGTTTAATGAATAATGAATTGGAAATGATGTAGAGTGAAGTACTTTTGGCCTAATATAGAACCGTAACAGTTTTGAATTGTGAATTATTTTAATATTGTGTATATATCTTACTCTGTTATTTAGCCCACAGAGGACTGTACAGATGATGAAAGAGAAGACTTTGAACACTCAGTGTCTGATCAGGTAGAAGTAATAATGGTTAAGGAGGAACCCGAGTATAAGAAGACAGAAGTTGAAGAAGACAGCAAGTGGCTTGATGCAAGACAAGAAGAGGATAATATTATGCAAACTGAACAAACTGGAATAGATTTGCTGCCACCTGATGACGAAATAAAGTCTGCAGTTTGCACTGCCCCCATTGAACCTCCAATTATCAGGTAATGTGAAATATTATTATTAATATTTAATTAATGCCCATGGTATAGTACATTTAGTCTTGTTGTGCATGCGAAAGTTGGAAGGGAAAAACCTGGTAAGATAACTAAATTACAAAGTGGAATGTATGTATTTGGAGCACATTACCAAAAATAATCTACTGCTTCTGGAAGTGAGATTGTGAGATGAATTTCTTGTGGACATATGAATTATATAGGATGGGCTTATCACTGTGTGGGACAGATCAGTATAATATATAATTTGAATTGTTCCCTGAAATGTGAAGCTTGAAGTGAAACCTCTGATTTGGAAGACATTAATTCAGTAGTGATTTTATTGTTCGCTGTTAAAGTGGGTTCAAGGGATGTGTGTATTGGTCTAATATGAGATGTTTGAAACTGCTGAAGGAATTGGTAATATTAGTCCAATTTTATAAGCTAGTTGTTTATAATGCGCTGAAAATTTTTCGAGTACAGCAGAGAAGTCCTTACTTACCGTGCTGTATGGTAACAGTATATGCTGAAATGGATATAATGTTAACCTTCAAGGAATGCATCCTGTTTGTTATCCTATACTTCCATCTCAACACAACAACTTTCAAAATCTCTTCATATTTACTGTGTATAATGAGTTTATTAGTTTTAATAGTGTTACAGTGTGGTGCATATGCTGAAGCTTATCAAAATAAACAAAGACATGCAACTGTGTTCAAAGTTGCACATGTAGGCAGTTCTACTCTTCTTCTTGTGCTCTGCGCACACA